CAGATTACTTTACGCCATGTCAGATCACACACACTACCCGGTCAAAAGTTTGGACAGAAATACTCATTGTTTATTATTACTATTTCCAACATTTTAGAGTAATAGTAAAGTTTTTATTCAAAACTGATGAAATAACGCAATTGGAAGTCTCAGAATTATTAACAAAAAAAAAAAGTAAAAAATTATAATTTTGCTTTTTTTTGTGCTAGTGCCTCTGCTGGACATTCTCTCAACCAACTTAATGGGATGGAGTCAACATGCTGGACACTAGCTTTTCTTTCATTTTCTGATCCATCTCATTCATTTAATTTGGTTTTAATTTTTTTTTAAAGTTTTTAAGTTTTTTTTAGCTGCAAGTAAAATTAAAGTTTCGTAATTATATATATATATATATATATATATATATATATATATATATATATATATATATATATATATATATATACATATACATATAAGGTTGTGCAAAGATTAATTGCAATTAATCGCATCCAAAATAAAACTGTTTTTACGTAATATATTTGTGTGTGCTGTGTATAATTATTTTGTATATATAAATACATATGCATGCATGTATATATTTAAAAATGATTTGCACGTAAATACTGTATATATATATATATATATATATATATATATATATATGAATACATAATCTATATTATATATAAATAGAAATATTTTATATATATATCTGGGCAACAATTAATCGCATCCAAAGTAAAAGTATTTGTTTACATAATATATGTGTGCTGTGTATAATGATTTTGTATATATAAATACATATGCATGCATGTACTGTACATATTTAAATAAAATGTGTTGTTTATATATAAAATATTTATAATGTATAAATATATATTCAGTGTATACATGCAAATATTTCTTAAATATATACATGCATATATGTGTATTTATATATTCAAAATAATTATACACAGTACACACACACATATTATGTAAACACAAACTTTATTTTGGAAATGATTAATTGTGATTAATCGTTGCACAACACTAATTTATATATATAGATGATGCGAAACATAAATTCAGTCAAGTTTGTTTACACTTCTGACTGGTAGCATACCTAATATGTGGTATTTTATTATTTTTTACATGATGACAGTAAAGACATGTATAACGTTACAAAATAAATAACAAATAAATGCTGTTCTTTTGAATCGAAAGAATCCTGAGAAAATGAATAAGTGTCCTCCAAATATCAAGCAGCAAACAGAATCATGTGACACTGAAGACTGGAGTAATGATGCTAAAAATTCAGCTTTCCATCACAGGAATAAATTACATTTGTAAAAATATTACAACAGAAAGTTATTTTAAATTGGAATCCTATTTCACAATATTACTGTTTTTAACTCTTGTTCAAATCATTACAGCCTGTGTTAGCATAACACACTTTCAAAATCATTACAAATCTCACCGACTCCAAACTTTTGAACGGTAGTGTAAATCTTTAAGGTCTTGCTATAACATCAATTCTCAGCTGTCAGTTTCCTGTATATGTTTAAAGGGTGTTGTGGCATTACCATGTTGTAGTTATCACCTCGACTGATGTTGTTTTTGTAGAATGGAGCTGTAAACTCATTTAACGGGGTGCTGCATGTGACAGTGGTGTAAACTTCACTCTCAGTGTAAAGCACATTCCCTGTGGCCCGGCGCAGCGCTCCTGTTCCCACACCATTTGTTCACGAACGCAGTCCTGCGGTCCCGTGGCACGAGCGGCTCACCTTGGAACGGAAAATTCCTTCTCTGGTGAACCCGTTTTGTTTTGTGATGTCAATTCGTTACACAATTTTTGATGTTTATGTTGGTATATTTTTTGATAAACTGTAAATCTCCAGATCAGCACACGACCAGCTATGATCAAGCTAATGTTTGCAGCTTGTATCGCCTTGGAGCCTCTCTCTCTTTCTCTGGTTTAAGTTTCCATTAGGGACTCGGCGAGACCCACGGCGTCAGAGCCCATTCAGTCTATTGTTAATCGAGAGCGTCTACAATCAAAGTGTGGAGTGTTTGGGTCAGAAGCCTCAGCGATTGTGGCCTACCCCAGGGCAAGAGTGTGGCCCCCGGGGACCCGAGCGCACCAACCTCCTTTACACCGCACGGCTATGAAGTTTAGCCGGGGGACTCCAGTGCTTCAAAGAGCTAATGACCAACTCCAGAAATATTTGCTTGATTGAGTGTGTGGTTGACTTGAAGGCTACCCTTTTTTCCCTCATATTGATCCACAGGTGAGCTCTTCTGTTTCACTTATAAAAAAACAACTCAAACTTGAGCTTGGCCATCAATCAAACTTGTTTAACTATTAAAATGAAATAGTCATTTGTGAACTTTTTTTTTTTTAAATTGGGTTTTTTGTGCTTTCCTTGTCATTGAGATCATTTATTTGCTAGTGCACTTTGTAAATTGGCATATAGACGTAATAAAAAATAAACACAAACAAAAAATATTGATGACTCATCTTGCACTAATGGGCGTGTCCAAAGCTCTCCAGATGTCCCTCCCCTAAAGGAGTAGTTCACATTTAAAAAAAAAAACGTTTGCTGATAATTTACTCGCCCCCATGTCATCCAAGATATCCACGTCTTTCTTTCTTCAGTCGAAAAGAAATGAAGGTTTTTGATGAAAACATTCCAGGATTTTCTCCATATAGTGGACTTCAATGGGAACCAAACGGTTCAAGGTCCAAATGAGAGTTTCAGCTTCAAAGGGCTTTAAACAACACCAGACGATGAATAATGACTTTTCTTTTTAAAGACTTTTTCATTTTGACAGGAGTGTCACGAACGCTCATCACAGAACAGAGCAGGGTGAGCATTTTTGCTTATAAAACTTAAACTTTTTTATTTATTTTTTAAATTAGCAATCGTTTCGCTAGATAAAACCCGTATTCATCGACTAGTGTTGTTTAAAGCCCTTTGAAGCTGCACTGAAACTCTCATTTGGACCTTGAACCGTTTGGTTCCCAATGAAGTCCATTATATGGAGAAAATCCTGGAATGTTTTCATCAAAAACCTTCATTTCTTTTCGACTGAAGAAAGAAAGACATGGACATCTTGGATGACATGGGGGTGAGTAAATTATCAGCAAAATTTTTTTTTTTAAAAAGTGAACTGCTCCTTTAATACTCAATCAACCTTATCGTAGTATTCAATTCAATTCAGTTAATTAATAAAGCACCTTTAAAACAACCTTGGTTGACCAAGGTGCTGTACATAAAAAGCAACAAAAATCACTCACTGTATGAAACTGTAGTAGTACATTTCATATTGAATCTATTTTTAAACAACATTAGGTCTTTTATTCCATTTCTGTTAGAAGTGAGATAATAGTATACTTTATTTACCTTAATTTAGCAAAAATACATAATATATTTAAAAACATATACCAAAAATATATTGATGACTCATCTTGCACTAATGGGCGTGTCTAAATTTTGATCAAATAAAATGCAGTAGTACATTTTATTTTATTACCAAAATCAGTTGTCTGGCTTTTATTCTGTCAGTTAGCATTGAGATCATCAATATGCCAGTGTACTCAACTTCATTTATCAGATAGACATGATTCAAATGAATATAAACAGACAAAAAAAATATATTGATAACTCATCTCGTGTCCAAATTTTGCTCCAATAAAATGCTTTGCAATATCAACGCAGTCGACATTGTTTCAATGTATGTAGATGTACTCAGCAAACAAGGTTTTGAAGAGCTATTTCAATCTCAGACGACCCTTGTGTTGGTTTAACCTTTAATTTTTGACAAATATAACTTATTTTTAGGTTACCGGATTTATAGTCCATCTTAGTTGGCATTATCCAGTACATGCAAATAAGTGCCCTAATTCTGAACGTAAAGATGCAGACGTGACGCTAGTGTGGTGTGTACTCATTAGTGTGTGGGTCCAGCCCTGGCTCTCTCTCTCTGTGTCCTTGCACGAATATATGGGTCTTCACACGTCCTCCGCAAAAGCACTCTTCTGCCGCCACCCCTCCACTTCTCCCCCTCTTCTCTCTTTCTCTCAAAGGTGCTGATCAATTCACAGCCTCCTCCGGAGGTGTGAGACTCATCCCTGCACTTTGTGATTGGCTTAGGCGTCACAGACCCTCTGTCGTTCTCTTTCTCCCCTTCTCGCTATCTCTCATCGAGGGCAGCGGCCTACTCTTTTCACCTCTGGGCTCTGCCAGCCTGTGGCTATAGGCTCCGGTCAAATGAAATCACACTAATCAAACCTCTCTCTCTCTCTCTTTCTCTCTCTCCCACCTTCTCCTCCTCCTCTCTCGTGGCCCTGAGCCCATTAGCACACCTGAAATAATAACTCAAGTGACAAATGTTTTGGCACTTATAGCTGATAGACCAAGAGAACGGGTGGGATTGAGCACACCACACTCTCAGAGACTCAGACACGGTATTTTCCGATTCTAACTGTGTCAACAGGCAAAGCTGACACATTCAGAAATCATGTGAAAACTTGATGTTCACAATAAAAACACAAATCCAAGTGCAGTATTTGTGTGTGTGTTTTTAATAGAAATCTCATTTTCAAGACAGGGTTCGTTTCATTGATTACATGAGTTGGTTTAAGCATTCTCAGCTAAACAATTTAATGATACAACCTTCATAAATGTAACAACATGATATCTCACAAGTGATTTTCTTTATGCTTCTTTGTAATCTATTAATGCAAACTGCGCCATGCTTTTTTTCTTTAATAAAATCAAATAACAAGCCGTATTAAACCTGATTATAATAATAAAAACTTAAAGTAAGAACGAAAACGCTGTCGTATAATTTGTGAAGTGCTGTGGACGCTTCTGTTGTTAGTTTTTAATTTTTCATGTTGACACGAGCACGCGTATAAAGGCATTATAAATAGCATATTCATTTTTTTTATTCATTTAAGATTTGTCATTTTAATATTACTGTTTTTGTTTTACTTATTCCTAATTGATGTTCGTAATTTACGGGAAAACAGATTTTTTTTTTTGCAGCCGAAAACCTCTGGAAGTCAACGCGCAATTTATTTTAATTATTGTTTTGCTAATTAATGTGAACACAGGCGAAGTGGGACGTTTTCTGATGATTTGTTTTTAACACAAATACCCAAATGGTTACACCAGTATCACACCATGCGATAAACGATGCAGATTTTAGAAGAATAAACTTAAAATAATAAAGATTAAGCTGAATTAAGAGTAAGTTGCCAAATTTCAAGCTTTGACGGATCAATGACGCGCCATCAAACTTTGTCAAGTAGTCTACTTTTAAATATTCACGCATGTCTCCTTAGTCGTCATAATTGATTATCCTCATTTTAACTATTCTTTAAGATTAGAGCGCGGCAAAACTCCTGTGTTTGTGCTTGTGCATATCAGAAAAGTCTTTGCGTCTCTCATTAAGAAACAAAGAAAGAAAATGCAGTATGTTTCCAGTAGAAGGCGCACATGATCAAGCATACAGGTCACTGCGAGCCTTTGCATATGAAAAAATGTGTTTTTCTTTTCTGTACTAGTTTACATTATTGCAAATCCAATTGGCCTGCAATACGTTTCTCAATTAAGAAGGTTTTGAAAATAAAATAAGATTAAGCAAAATAGAAAAAAAAACAAAGTTGGCTCAAATAAAATCACAAAGCGACATTTAAATAAAAACACTGATTTCAAATTTAATTAGGCCTATACATTAACATGAAATAAATGCTTAGCGCTTCTTTTTAATGTTTCCAACTAATAAAACGAAAGTAAATAGCCTTAATCTATTTTTTTTTCTCACTGCACCTGTAGTATAAACATTATTTTAGACATTGTTTCCGACTAATTGTTCCTAAAATTCCTGGACGTGTTTGATTCATTAGTTAGCCTGGAAAACATATGAACCTTCAAAAGTGCACAAAGTTTTTTTTAGTTTCACACTTCCGTCGTTATAATCTTGGACCATGGGTTTCATTTCCCCCACGATTAGTAGCCTAAACAACGATTCACTTATTTTATTTGCAAGTAATTGTCTCCGTTGCGCGCTCGGACAAGGAAACGCATAGAGTGGTTAAATGATTATTTGCATATTCAAACATTTCCCATTTGACAAGCCTTTGAAACACTCTGTAAGAGCATAATAAGCAAGCAGTGGAAAGATCTAAAAAAGAAAGTTAGTAGCCTGCCTGCTGTTTTTTCTCCCATTCCCGCTAGTCTTGTAAGTCCCATGCAGTTGTCAGTGCTGCTGGAGAAGGCAGGGTTCACTGCTGACTGGCCCCTGGCCCCTGGTCGCTGGTCGCTGATCGCTGCGGGGGGAAATAAAGGATGACCTCCGTTTGACTTCTGAACCACAGCGGCATGTTGCTTTCAATAGCGACTTACGGAGAGAAAGATTCAAATGAATAACAAATATTGAGGCAGAATGGGAACATTTTGTAATAAACATCCACACGTTTCAACACGTTCTTGTTTTCAAGAGTGACTCGAATTAGCCGAATAGTTCAAATCCGCCTTGTTCTAAATTAGATATATTTATTTTATAGCTATACTTATTTGTAGTAATTATAGCCTATAAATAAGTTTGGTTAATTTATTTGGTTACACTTTATTTTAAGGTGCCCGTGTTACATTGTAGCTAAATACTATGTCGCCTACTCTGTAATAATTATTAACTACATGTACTGAATTTAGGGTTAAGGTTTGGGGCTAGTTGCATGTAGTTATGAATAATTTATAGTTACTGCATGTAATATGTGGGCACTTTAAAATAAAGTGTAGCTCTTTATTTAAGGTGTTAAACTGTATTTATACATTTAAGTTCTGAGTGATATCAATTAACATGTAGCTACTTAACTTGGTTAGTTACATGTAATTCTGTATGATTTACATGTAACATGTTACAAAGACACTGTAAAATAAAGTGTTACCATAATTTTAATAATTAAATGAAGCCTAAATGGATACTTTGAAACACACTCAACCCTATTGCGTAGTTGTACAAATGTCGCCAGTGCTTTCCATGAGATTTAATGCCCGTTTAGTTGTCTCGATAAAAAGTCGGATTTATTTTGAAACATTTTACGTCGAACGATTCCCAAATTATCCGAAATGATGGCATTAACTCAGTGATGCGTGCTGCAATCTGCTGACCCTCACTAAAAGGCAACCTAAACAGTGAAAGTCCATGCCCTCATTGTGCTCTATAGCGTCCTTTTATAGATGCTAATTGAAGGAACTTAATTACTTTATAATGCTATTCTGGTACTGTGACAGCAGTTAAACGTTTGGGTAAGTACAGCTTTCAAGTCATGCCGTTTGCTTCTCACATAATTGAGACAGACACAAAACTAATGTTAAGATTGCAAACATCAAGAAAACAAACGAGTCCACTCAGAGTGTATGGATTACAACTAGTAAACCGCTGAAATCATAAGATTTTTTTTTAAGATAAACTAAAACTTTATTGTAGACTTGGAAAAGACAAGTCACTTACCAATAAAGGCGTCTGTTGCACGGCATATCTGTTACATTTGCTTCACGAATCCTCCTTTCGTTTGTGTTTAAGTCCACATCAGATCCCGCACCGCGCGGCGCGCACCCTTCGTTTGCCGAGCGCTTTGGGGATTTGATGTAATTTCATGCCTGTAAATGCGCGCGGCTCTTTCGCGGGAAGCGAGGATTGTGTTGTGCTCGTGACAGCTGATAAGACACTGTTCCTTGCATTAATCGCTTCTGATCGATGACAGATGCTCCTCAGACAAACTTCATACACCTTGTCACCGGGTCAGTTGTATTGCCCACAATGGTGCACTTCAGCCCACATCAGTCAGTGTGTGTTTAAAGCCGCTTATTCAGCCTTCATTTGAGCATTTAATGGAAGATGTATTCTTTATAATAACAAAGAGATTCCTTTATTTGGGGAGATGCATTTTAAATTGACCAGAACACAAACCCCCTCTCCAAACTGTTTATGTTGCACATCGCCGTAGAGTCGACAAAAGTTGAGGAATGAGGAATACGAAAGAGTGAATGAGCAAATGACAAAAATAAATACATGTTTAGATATAAAAAAAAAATGAATATCTTGTCTCCGTGAGTTTTATATGTGTTTGAGTGGGAGAGGGAAGGAGACTGTGGGAGAGAGAGAGAGAAAACAGACTACGAAGAGTACATTTTCCCTCCAGATTACAGTATTTTCATTCCACCCTTTCTTCATTTATGGAAGCATATCGAGCGATAAATTAATGATTGATCATTCTTTGAACCAATAGACGGCTTGATTCACTGTAGCACGCTTTCATTGGACACTGCACCAAAACTCCTAAGATCCTACAGTAAGTGGATGAGCCCATTCACAAATGGCGGGGGTGTTTTGGCTCAGAGCGCACGCGGCACTGCTGAAGTACAGCATATGCTGTTTCTGAATAATGATGTTTGTGTGAAATGTAAAATAAATAGGCATATGGGATCGTAACCCCTGATATTTCGTATTATTCACGCGGTGCATTTTTATAGGCTTCCGCATAATAGCACACGACGCGTGGGTAAACTTCATTAAGCGGCGTAAACTCGAGTTTCTCGACTGTTGTAAATAGATTCTAAAATCATAACTGATAATAAACATAAGTAGTGTTGAGAGGGACTCAATGTGAAAGAGTCCACGCTCCCCTGATAGTCACTGCTTTTATGTAAACACGTACACACGACTTTATATATCGTACGTTTTGGCATGAATTATGAACGCAGTGCCGTTGACCAAAAAGCACAACGCGGTCTGTACATGTTATTATATCTCGACTCGATATGTTGAATCGTGGTAGTGGTCCCACACATTTCACCCCCCTGCTTTGGTTGGAACTTGATGTGGCCCATCGCATTGTGCAAGACGCGACCTGTTATGGCCACCACTACTTCCGGGTTTCTGCAGTCTGGTCCAGATTCAGCTGCCGAGCCGCGTTCAACACACACTCATTGTACACAAACGGAGAAAGGCAGCTCGCAGCATCGATCGTGGCTCCTTTAAGAAAAACTAAGCCAGAATTATCAGCCCACCTCCTCTTGATCTCATTTAGAAGCTATTGCATAAAAAATCAACTCAGGAGCCGAGAGTGATCAAAGAAACGAGAGAGAGCTTCATTTTTTGAGCATTTGAGTAGTATTCTCGTTAGGGGTGCTAACCAGTGGAAGCGCGCAGAGGATCATCATTCATTCAGCACTTTGACAAGCTCGCGTTTGATTGATTGACAGCCGGAGTGGCAAAAAGCCATGAGATGCGCTAGTTTTGTTTGAGGGGCTGTTTTCATACTGCTTTGGGAAAGAAGATTTCGCTCGATCCTTGTCGCTGTCCAGGGGAAAGAAAGCGAAGGGGACTTATCGCCGAACGCGCCTGCTGGCTGAACTTGTGGTGAAGGACTGGCTTCATCGCTCGCTTGAAAGAGGCGTTTGGATTCTTCTTCTTTTTTTTTTTTTTTAGGGGGAAAAACACATCCCGCGTTTGGAATTTGCGTGTTTATTTCCCATTCACCCTGGCCTGATAGGGGATATATTTTTGATTAAAGGAAGACGAGGGAGTGTGGAGGGCGATGGCGCAGAGGGTACGTATCCCGAAAAGTTTCTTCGACTCCGTATTGCTGAAAGCAGTTGGAAATACTGAAACGTGGCCGATGACAGTCTCGCAGTCAAACTTTCTCTTCTTTTGCCTGCCAGCTTTTCTTTTTTTTTTTCTGTCCTTTTTTTTTTACATCGCTCACTTGCGTGCATGTCTCTTTTGGGACACTGAAACAATTTAGGAACAAATATGATACTCTCTAATTACGTTTGACAGGGAGCAATTCCTAATTTTTGAGCTAGCCTATACTTTTACTAAACGCACTGCAAGTATCTCTTCAAAAGGCCACACTATTTAAAGCTTTGAATAGTTCAACTCAAACTTATCATAATACATGCTATGATAACACACTGTGCAGGAATATTAATAAGGAGCAAATGTATTTTTATTTTACTAATAACATTCACTTTCAAATAGCAGTGCGATGAACTTGTAAAGTTGACCACTTTTTCCTTTGCATTTGTAATCAAATGTAAACAATCACAAAGTAGATTTCATCGCAAGCCTCCGACCTTTTGCTTTTGATGGAGGAACCACAAAAGCACCCTGCTGTCCTGCTTACACCTCTGTAGATTTAGAATTCAAAAGTGTCATGTTCTCATCATCACACTTAGGCTATATTACAATATCATGACACTTATAATAATTACGATAAATTATCAATGTCTCTGATAGGTTATTTTAAATAAACTACTCCATTTAACTGGTAGTTTCGAATGAGCAATGTAAATTTGTGTTTAATCAGACTAATCTTAATAGTGCTGCATATGCTAATATTTGAAGAAGCATATAATGCATTTAGTATGACAACAATATATTACACAGTTATTACATGCAAATGTTACTCGATCTGCACTTGTGAAAATATAAAATGCACATAAAATTGATATTTTTGTGACGATCTCAACAGCTCAGCACTTCATGTGAATGTGTCCGACGCTACATTCTAACTCTGTCTGTTTATTAAAATAATCACATGATAGCTTTTGCAATCCATAAATGGCCATGTTTGCGCATAGTGTAAGAAGCACGAGATAGTCTGCATGTACAGTTAATATATTTAATTAATGTGTAATACCAGATCGTGTTTTCATTGCGCAAAAGCCTTATTTATTTATTTTTTTAGTCCGAGAACATCCGATGTAGCTGCCATTTATATTTTTTTTAGTGTAGTTTTTTTTCCCTTCTATTTATGCATTCTGTAAGAGATAAAAGTGACAATATGGGAATGTTGCCCTTCGTGTGTGTGTGTGTGCAGTACGAAGATATACCCCACTATGGGATGGACGGAGTAGGAATCCCGAGCACGATGTACGGGGACCCGCACGCTGCCAGATCCATGCAGGCTGTTCACCTGAACCACGGGCCCCAGCTCCACTCCCACCAATACCCGCACACAGCCCACACCAACGCCATGCCGCCCAGCATGGGCTCATCCGTCAATGACGCTCTAAAAAGAGATAAAGACTCCATTTACGGGTACGTGGAGATAGCCAAGACATATAGGCTATTTTATGATGAACTTTGTCCATAACACATTATTCCACCCGTAATAGTTTCTGTAAAACTTGAGGCGCCATGAATGTTTAGGCTAGTTTTTGTTTTTCTAAAAGTTGTCCCCCTTACTTTTGGATTAGTTCATCCTTTTAAAAACGTGGATTTCTTTTTCTTCTTGTTTATAATGTCTTAGTTTTAAACTTCAATATCTAAGTCGATAAATATAGCATATTTACAACCGGGTAGCACTTTGTTTTACAGTCCTGTTCCCCATATACATATGTACTTATTTTATTATTTACAATACATTAGTAATAACTTAGTACTAACCCTTAACCTACCCCTAAACCTAACCTTAACCCAGGTAATTACTTTATATTACCCGGAACTTTTTTTAAAAAAAGTTAAGTAAGTAATATAAAATAAAGTGCAACCAAAAATTGTTGCGGATAAAACATCGTGTGTGTGTTTAGGCTATTTCAGCTAGAACTTTTTTAATTGTTAACATCAGGCCTGCTTATTTGTAAAAATGTAGCTTATAAAATACATATTTTGGACAGATGAAGTGCTTTCCATACTGTAAACACTCCTTAAAAAAACAATTAAGGATTTTTCTCATGCTCATGTTCTGGTTATAATATGTGCAAATATGTGCGGAGTGACTCCAAAAGCGCCTAGCATACAAAAGCTGCTCGAGCATAATGGTTCTCGTCACAGTGCTGTATATAAATATGGTTGCCGTTCGAAACAGCAATTCGGTAACCAGCTATAGAACTTCTTCCCATTCATTATGGATTAGATACGTCCCTAAACATTTACTCAAGATATTTGAACTACGTTAAACTGCATGTTTGGCCTAGACTCAACGCGAGCATTTGAGGTGCTCTAACCAACCCTGTAGTCCACTGTTTATATTGATAATACGTTCAGCAATCCAGTTTACATTTGACACGGTATTATGCACAACTAACAAGCTCGTTATAACGCAAGTCACAAGAAAACGAATCGACATAAACACTTTCACCATATTATCGTGGCGCAGTGGTACTCAAGCAGTTTTGTTTGCTGACATAAATTAAATGAATTAATTAAATATGAACTTCCCAAACACAAATGAGATTGTCATAATGCGTTCTTATACTATGAGAAGGAGCTGTGAAGTGTTATAAAGTGTCGTGTGCTAAATGCTAATCCAGAGCTTCCCTCGCAGTGACCTGTGTGTTTTTATTCCGCAGGCACCCTCTGTTCCCACTTCTAGCACTGATTTTTGAGAAATGTGAATTAGCCACTTGCACACCTAGAGAGCCCGGTGTGGCTGGAGGCGATGTGTGTTCATCAGAGTCTTTCAATGAAGATATAGCAGTGTTCGCAAAACAGGTCAGAAACTGTTTTATTGCGCCCAAAAAGTTTTAATGCACTGTCCGTAACTTTATACCATACTATCATAATATTAATTCTACATTAGTGAGCTAATCAATGCATTTAAATTTATTTTGCGTTATTTTTATGAACTTTTTTTCCCACGCAATTTTAAATTATTTACATGCATATCGTCTCAGATTCGAGCAGAAAAGCCGCTATTTTCATCAAACCCTGAGCTGGATAATTTGGTAAGTAAATTATTATTATTATTTTGTATTTGCCTGCAAGAGTTTTAAACTTTTATGAACTATTCAGAAAGTTTTGTTGGTTTCTTCATACCATTGCTAATTGTTACGGATAGCTACCGTTTTGGTTTTAATCGTCTTTCTTTTTTTTATGTTGATGGAGGACACACATCCCCCTCGTTACAGCATGGGTTAAAGTGATAATGTATTCATAAATGAAGTATAATCTGACTTAATTGCCATGCATTGCCTAGATAGTAATCTCATGCCGTAAATGATCCTAAATGTCATAAATCACGTAATTGTGTAACTATCGTTTGTAATAGTCCTGGGCCTGTTGATTCCGTCACCTTTAAAGTGAACCCCTTTTGTTCTCAATTTGTTCATTTCCCCAGATGATACAAGCCATTCAAGTTTTACGGTTTCATCTTTTGGAGCTCGAAAAGGTAATCAAAGTTTC